CGGGGGAGGGGGGTGGGAGACCAGAGATCTGAAAAAGATTAGAACTTAAAGAAATTTGGCAGAACCCAGCACCAATAGAGTTAGAAGTTAACTGCTGATCTCTCATGTACACCTTGAAATAAATGACAACTTTTTCTTTTGTTATTATTAATGGCTCTTAATTTTTCCCCCCTTGAGCAAATTATGAAAATGAGGACAAATGTAACAAGCAAGGCAAGGAGACAGGTGCATCTAATCCAGCTCCGCGGACTAACTAACGCTTCATGAAATTCCCTTCTCCTGTCTGGCCAGTTGGCTCTGTCCAGCAAAATCCACACAGGGACCCACACTTTTACCGTGCTCGGAGCTCTAACGCCCCTGAACTTAGCTTTCTGATGGAGAGGCTGCCAGGAGACGCCATGGAGAGGGGACGGAGCACTCAGGGCTCCCGCTGAATCACCAGACGTCCAGCCACTCAGCAGAAAGAACGCTGAGCAGCCATTCCTGAATTTGAGTGCTTAACAATCCTCATCTAATTCTATCTGAGAAAGCCGAAATGTGATTCCTATGGAGCTGGCCAGGACTACAATGCAGATAAACGGGAGTACGACTTCTGCTTCTGGAAGATACATCACGGGGCAGCCACTGGGCGCTGTGGCAGTCACCGTTATAGAAGCAGCTTATGCTCTGATGCCACAGTCACCCCACCACATTGGACCGACCTGGGGAAGGCGAAACGCGTGGCCGAGACACACATAACTCCACCGGAGACGACGCGAGACACGTTTAAAAGTCAGAGGACGAGGAAACGAGCATCCGCCGACCAGGTCCGCCAGGTTACGGCGAATGTGTTCTTGACGGATGTTAGCATTCGGCTCCCTTCAGCTTTGTAAGAGCACACGGAAGAGTATGGAACTTCCTGAGGCTGCTCAGTGACACAGGTGATCTTCCTGTCCCCCCGCCCCCCGCAGGGGCTTCGTACCAGCTCGGGCTCCCCTTTAGGGGTGTCTCCCATCCTCTAGTCGTCCTGAAGGGTCTCGGGCACCCCACGCCTGGGGTGTGTACCCCCCCACCCCACCCCGCCCCAGACAGGACTGAAGTCCGTCCAGATCACCTGGACTTTTTGCAATCTCTGTCGATATCTGCTGACGGGCCAAGCGGGGTCTCCCAAACAGTAACGAGAATCCGGGACATGTGATGGTTGTCGGGCAGCCACAGCTGGGGATGTGTCAAAATGAATTTTTCCGTTGACTCTTCCACCCCGACCCTCCTCGCACGCCCTAGTCTGCTATCGAGCGTCTGGTACAGCTCAGCGCTTTCCATCGAAAGCATAGCGAGTGAGCTGTTCTTAGCATGCGCTTGGCCACACGCGCCAGTTGACACCTCATTATCTGCAGACAGTTCTGACGCGAAAGCCAAACTGCTCTGCGGGGCCCTGGACACTTCTGACTTCACTGCTTCCTGCCTCGCCTCCAACGTACTCATTCATTCTCCCACCCGTCGCCAAAGATCTGTTGCCTAACTCTGTGTTCCAGACACTTGATGTATATCGATGACTAAAGGAGACACGTCGTTTCCTTTGTGACGCTTGCTGCAATAATCGAAAGCAGACAGATTACTAAGTCATGGCACATGGCGCTGAGCGCTCCGGAGGACTAGCGAGGGGCAGAGACGCTGGACCCACTAGGAGAAGAAGGCTCAGGAGGGCCTCCCGGAAGGAGTCGCCTTGCGGCCGGACCGAGAGGAGGACTCAAGCGTGCAGAAGGGGCGGGAGGAGCACGTCGGACCGAGGGACGGACGCGCGAAGGCTCGGAGGTGGGAGAGGGCTCCGACGGGCCCAGCAGGAAGGGGCCGCCGGGGGCGACAGGGCCAGTCAGGGACACCGACGCTGAAGACGCAGGCACGGGGCGCTTTGTAAATCAGGGAGAATGAACGCCACGTCAAATGCAACGGGAAGCTACTCAAGGGACTGAAGTGGAGAAGACACGATCAGAAGACGGTGTCTCAAAAGTAGACCAAACTCAAGAAAGCGAGGCGAGAACTCCGTGTGGCGGGCCCTGCGAAACGCCTCCCACGGCCAGGCTCCCCGTCCTCCTCGACACGAGAGCTCTAATGTTATTCTGGAGAGCAAGGCGCCCAGTCGGAGAAGTGTATTTCCCCGTTTCCTTGTAGCTAAGGCAAGACCACACGTAATAATTCTGCACCATCGGACATAAACGAAAGTCTGTTTGGGATCTTGGGCGAGCTTTGCTTTCTTGCTCTAAAGGCACAAGCCCTTCTTCTGTCTGTTTCCGTCTACTTTTTCTCATTTGAGTCCAGCCTGTGCGTGCGTGTGTGTATGTGTGTGTGTGTGTGTATGTGTGTGTGTGTGTGATGGCAGGAGACATAGTAGTCACCTGAGATAACCATCTAGGAAAAGCTAACAGCATCATGAAGACCTCAGGCCTGACAACCTCGAACCGCTGGCCCAGTGCCGACGAACACCTAAATCTGGATTTTTACTGCGTGTGAAACACACAAAGAAACACAACCTCCATTTATCTGAGATAAAGTTTGGTCACGTTTTTTCTGTCACTCGCAGGTGGTCACAGTGTCTAACTGACGCACCGGGTGATAACGTTCCCCGGGCAGCCTGCACTTGGACGGCGGCGGTTAAAACGCGAGAAATCGGGCCCGTGTGGAGGCAGAGGCAGTGGGACTTCTGGGGGCCTGGGTGTGGGGTTTGGGGGCAGGCGTAAAAATGTCAGGAGCTTGGCTTGAGGATTTATTACAATGGGAAGTTAAACCCAGAGGGGAACAGGTTTGAAGATGAAAAGCAGGAATTCGATTTTTGATATTTTATAGTTGAGGTCCCCAAGATGTATCTATGGGGGTGATCTTCACTCAGGGGTTTCCATGAGTCGGGGTTCCCCTCCAGAAGCCCCGGCCCCGCCCCGGCCCCTCCCTCTCTCCTTGGACGGCGTTCGCCCCGCTGCCTGCCACGCGCCATGCGGTGCCCACGGGAGCGGACTGAAGGGGCAGAGGCCTATGGACGCCCATGCTGCCTGTGGCCAGACGCCCGAGCCGCGGGAAGCTGCTTCCCGCTATGGCTGCAGACCTCGACCTCGCTTTCCAAGTCAGCTTTTGTCAGTGACGAAACGCTGAGGTTTGGAACATGCTAGACGTCTCTGTCTGGCTCAGGGGTTTCACACGTAGGCCAGCTCATACCTGTACCGCGTCAGGCAGGTACATCGCATTCTTTGAGCCGCATGCCTGGGGCCATGTTTTAATAGCTGTTTCTTTCAATAGATACTGCCAAAGAAACCTAAATTCCTCCCCTTCCCCAGTACGTGGCTGCCTGGGTCTCCACTGTCTGGGCCAAGGGTTGTCTTCTCTGCCAGGTGGGGCCGTACCCTGCGCAGGAATGAAAAAAAAACAGCGGCCGTTCCATTGTTCGGGCGTTTGGCTTCCTGCCATACCTTCACGGAGCCGCATCATTAGAATTGGGTGGCCTTTGCCTCTCTCCCTTCTCTCCGTTACGGTCCGCCCTTCCCTCCCTCCCTCTACCCTCCAATCCGGTCTTTGCTTCCCTTGTTTAAAAGGTGGTACCGATACTAGTGGTTTCTATCCTACCCCTAGTAACCCTAATTTCAGGACTGCGGGACACACGTGGTTGGGTAGGAGGCCACTCCTCGGGGCATCTGGTAAGGCGCCGTGACAGCAGCCTGTCTGGGACAGAGCAGCTCCATTTTTCCTATTCATTTACTGTAAAGAAAAGTGTCTCAGGTTGGTCTCATACTGAGTATTGGGTCATTTATCAGAGTTTATGTTTGGGAGCTTCTTAGATAATATTTAACGCCGCTGCAAAAATGGTCTTTTGACAACTAAGTCACATGATCCCCTTTTCCCCTTGAGATGCTGGTTTTTCAAGCCCCTCTCCCTTCCCGTCCTAACGGATACATTATCCCCGGGGCTTACGCTGAGCAAAGAGGTGCGGGGCCTTTCGGCACATTACGTCACGGACAATAACATCTACTCTCTGAATGACCATGGAGATCACACATGGCCCCATCTCATGTGGGACGCTGCACCTGGTATGGAACAGAGCACGGCATTGTCACACTGTCATCCAATGGCTTTTACCAAACGAGGGGACATCAGCAGCTGCGATGCATTATGCCACTGTGACATTAACTACAGACACAGACAGAGCGCTCGTAAAGAAAATACATGCCCTTTTTTTGAATAGAGCCTTGGGTAATTACCCTGCCTGTTGTTCTATGAGAAAGCCCGTTTACACCCCTTCATCGCTTTAGGATCTTGGCATGAAAAATCGCCAGCTTTTAAGTAGTTAAGGCAATTTGCTTTCCAAAGAAAGAAAGGACCAAAAAAAAAAAAAAAAAAAAAAAATCATACTGCAGAGAAATCTCTGCTCCCGAGTCACCCGTGTCGACAGCCAAAAGCTCACCTCAAATACGGGGTCCTGGGGCGTTTTCCTGATGGTGCCTTGTTCCTAACCACAGCCCGAGGGCAGTGTATTCAGGGTCCCTTCCTAGACGGTCAGCACTAGGGGGACAGTGTCGGCTGTGGCGGGTCCAGCGGGCACGGGTGTGTCTGGCTGCCCCGCCCCGCCCCGCTGGCCGGGCCGGTTCTCTGCAGAAAAGCTACAGAAACGTCGCTCACCTTGAGGAGTAAGCTCGCAGGGCGGGGTCCGCGCTCCTCCGAGTTCGCCGCAGGACGTGAAACGGGTTATGAGGGTTGCCAGTGAACATGGAGTAACGTGGGAAATTATTAAACTACTTACCCCCACACGAAAAAAAAAAACAAAATAAAATGGCTACGAAAGGAAAGGCAAAGCACGACAAGACAGGCGGCCCCCCCGATCTCACTTACATTGAGTGAGGATGCCGGTCAAGGCGTTCTTGAAGATCTCCTTGGCTTCCTCCATCTCTTGCTCGTGGGTGGCTTTCTCGTTCATCAGGCGGCGGACGTGGCTGTTGGCCGACTGCACCATAGAATAGAACTGGTTTGCAGAGCGCCGGCTCACCTCACCCCGTTCGATCCAGGACAGCAGCACGGTGACGGCCTCCGAGAACTTGCTGTCGTCTGGAAATGGGAAACCAGCAGGCTCGAGTCACGCTCTCGGCGTCGGCTCCTCTCGAGACGGAGCGTGGCCTATCTGGACAGGTGCAAGTCTCAGAATCTGTCTACCACCTGGACCAGCTCAATTTCAGTTCCGTGCGGGGCGTTCTCTGCGACCCGGACCCTGGTTCCTCTCTCTTGAGTCTGCCTCAGAAAACTATTAGTAACCTATGCGGCTTGATCCTCTCGTCGGAAATATTATACAGTGAGAACAGTTTTCTGACTTGTAGAATCAGCCGAGTTAGTGTCGAAATGTGAACGACGGATTAAATTACTTTAAAGCTAGTTGAAATGTAAGATAGTGTTCCCGAGGTGTCAGTAGGCTTCGGTCAATTCTTGTTCTACGGCAGTTCAAAACTAATTTCACTTTAGGTTTCATATGACATATTGGATTAGGCTGAAAAATATAATATTTCCTTGTTTCCAACAAACAAGAACCTGGAATGGTCAGTGTTGGCTTTGGAAGGCTGTTAACAAGCCAATGGAACCTGGTTTATGGGGTGTGTCGGGGGCGGGATGGGCATGGGGGGATGAGGTTCCACCGGTAAAGAAGTGACAAAGTTTATTTCAAAGGCAACAAAGAGTCTACAACCATGCCGCCCTGAACAAGCCCGATCCCGTCTGAGCTCGCGTGTTGGGGGCGGAGGGATGGGCATGGGGGATGAGGTTCCACCAGTAAAAAAGTGACAAAGTTTATGTCAAAGGCATCAAAGAGTCTACAGCCACGCCGCCCTGAACAAGCCCGATCCCGTCTGATCTCAGAAGCTAAGCAGGGTCGAGACTGGTTAATACTCGGATGGGAGACCACCTAGGAAGACCAGGTGCTATA